TATCATTTTGTTTACTTTATGGTTCGTCGTTAGCTTTGCTGTTGAGTCAATACAAATCGCATCATTCAAAATTTCTAAATTTACATCTCAGACATCTTTCTGTGCCATTTTCAATGACTTACTTTAAACTAACCTCATAGCACACGGCTCGTTTATTTGAGTTTTTATGGTAGAGGATGATGCATGTATTTTTTTTGATTAGTGCCAAGAAATTTGAACATGATATTGTCTGATAGGTAGATCCCCGCCTTGATATGACTCACCTTAATTTGACTTCATAGAACACGGCTCGTTTATTTGAGTTTTTACGGTAGTACTATACCGGTACCGTATTAACTTGAATAAGAGCAACACGTCTCTGGACGTCCGACTTGCCTATTTTGGCAGGGACGAGATAAAATACCAGCAAAATAAAACCACGCGTTACCGAGAGGGGAAACCTAGACGTCCTGAGTGGTGTTGCTCTTATTCAAGTTAATACGGTATTTGTTCCTTCCGACGGTCTCAACCGAGGATCAAAGATAATCTTTTCGCCGCATTTTTTTCCCTCTTATGGGAGGGGGGATTCCCGACGCCATTCCCAGCCACCCCAGCTTTCGAGGATAATTAGGGACATCAGTTTACAAATCAACTTCAAACCCGTGAACTCCAACAACAGAAACAACCCATCTGAGATCCCCTATAAATATTCTGCACCCAATTTACCACCCTCGGAAGATTCACAGATGGGGCCCTGGGATATTAACTTCAGCAGGAGCGGGGCCGATTTTTAGCTTTACGTGGGGAGCTTGCTTAATATGGCTTGCCAAATCTAGTATCATAATCTCTGCATAATGCTTCCCCAGCAAGAATCTCAGACCCATATCGCTGCCATATTCGGAAGTGATCGACCGTTTAATAGGTGGCTTTGAATTGACACGGTGTTGACTTGCGGCGCCTGGAACCGCAAGATACGTTGCAGCTTGGCTTCCGGTTATAGGTTGCCGATGTCTCGTCGCTGACTTGCCGTGTAATACGCGGCCGGGCTGGGGAAGGTATCGATAAGAGAAGCTTAATTTGACTTAGCCGCCGCCATGGAACCTAATTAATCTTCCTAGAAGTACCGCGCCGCAGCCGTACCCACGGTCTTAAGCATCCCTCAATCTCTTCCGGCGGAGACCAAATATCATACCAAAATCTACCCCCCTTCTCGGAACGCATCAGAGTACAGCTAGTAAGGCTAACTTATATACCCCCAGGGGGAAAACGACTACCAAAATAAAAACAAACTGACCACAGCTCTTTCCCCGATACCCAAAACTGGAACTGCATTGTGGTATCGGATGCATCCTCCATCCTAATCAAAGGGCACGAGATTCAAACCCTTCATCCCATCATCCTTGGTAATGGTTGCATATTCCTCCTATTCACCGCGGCCCATAGTTTTCCAAACCCTCTCTCATCCCGCGTTCCGATGGATGCAGGAACGCACGACCGATGTGAAGAGGGCGATAGCGAAGCAGGGGGTTCATTAGAGTATCCTATTGCTTTCTTGACCCAACCCCAGTGTGCCTAAATCAGCAACTGCTTGGCGGTTGTGTGCACACATCTCCTATCGGAATATTCGGTGAGCCCGGTCCACAGCACCCCCAAGGCCCCGCTCTAAGTTATCGGACATATGACACCTCTCGATGTACCGTCTCCCCCCAATCTGCTCACGGGAATGTAATCTTCACGCCCAGCAATCTCCATCTTTTCTCCTACCCAGGTAGCGGTCTAGCAAGACCCGCCAGCAGCAGGCCAACACCTTGACATCCGAAGAATTGCCGGGCTAATAACTAACAGGGGCCATAAACGACGTTACGAACTCTACCCGACGAGCTCTTACCACCACCATCCTCCCCCTCACCATTCAAGCCTCACCGACAGTTACAGCACGCAATCATTCAGATACGGAAGTGGGATCTATCGACGTGCCTGGCTGGGCTGACTTTGTGTTCCGCAATCTGTGGGGAATTTCATCCTCCCATACTGGCACTCGCTATCACCTGGGACACCTGACTGGTGGAGATGCTCCAAACTAGTGAACGGGTAACTTCTCACAGTGTGGGAATGTCGCTCGGCGGTTTGTTTAGTGCGCTGGAGCGAGAGTATTCTATAATACGATGAAAACCGAAATAATCAAGAATCACGCTAGGACGTTGGAGTTGCCTCTCCTCGTAAGGCCCGTTGTCTCAACTAATGGATGAAGGGGGCCCATCCGCTATATTTCCCTCTCTAATCCGAAGGGGCAAACTATGGACACCCTAGCGCCATTCTCAATTATTTCGGTTTTTACTGTACTAACAAGTAATTGTCCATGTGCGAACCACATGGGGTGCAAGCATAGTAGCTCCAGGTCTAGTCTCTTGAAAAGAGGTATTGTTAAGAGTACATCTAATGTGACTATGTGGTTTTAATTCAAAACCCCCCTTATACAATACAGGAAGACCGAATTGGATTATAAACTTGTTCATAATTACAGAGGCAGAAAAATCAATGCTTTTAGGTATTAGGGGTAAGTGAGGATGGCTATCAACTATACTTTACTATAAAGATATCACATTTAGAAAGAAATCATTCAGACTGGTACTCCAGTCAAGTAACATTATCAATGTTCCTGCTTAAACTTTTATATCATATTATTATTCAATTCTACTATGCTTATTGTCTGAGGTTGCTTTATCACCCGTTCCCGATGTCGACACTGCACCACAGTTCCGAACAACAATTCCATCACCCTGTACTGTACCCTAAACCCAGTTTCCGTTTTTTTTGGCTGTCCGTTGCCATGTCCGTTGTTATAAGCACCCGTTATTAGGCAGTATCATATGTGGGGCAAACCTTTCTATAATAGACATCCTACGATCGCTCACGCGATTGGCAATGTCGGGGTGTGTTTGTGGTATAGTATGAAAGCAAAGGGGCGGGATTTTGTTTCGTTTTGTTTTTGGGTTAGGTGTCCGCTTGGGTATCAGCCCGCTCGCCCAGTGTGAGGCAGCCAAAGATGGGGTTTCGGTTTGGGGAAGGGGCGGAGGGGGGCTATATACATACCGGCGTGGCGGCTGTGCGTCGGAGAGGCCCCGAACTGTGTTTCTGTTATTAGTTGGCGGGGCACTAACTATGATAACTAACTAGCTATACTCGAGTACTTGAAACCTGTGAGAGAGGTATCTAACTAACAAGCCGGCATTCTAACCGTACTCTTTATCATCTCAGTCGCATGAGTCGATGGTGGTCCCCTACTTATCACTGTTTCGTGCTAGGAGCTTATTTATCAGTCCGGGGGGTTGCTACAATATCACAACCGCTATTTCCTTAGGAGTCTATCTAAAAATATGCAACGTGTCGAAAGTTGGCTAGAGTATTTCCTCCGAACCTCTTCAAAGTTTCTTTTTTCCAACCGTAATTTTCGGGGTATTGTAATCTCTAGTTTTGATCTCCCATCACAGGGCTATAGTCAAGGCATTCCGTCTAGCCCGTGAAAGGAAATACAGTATCATACTCCAACCCCCCCCCACTGTCGATTCAGATAATCACAAATTCTCACTCGTGTCTTGTCCCCTCCTCCCCGTTGGAAATAGCAGTTGATGGCCGCACTTGGTGCGGGATGTGCTCATACATGAAGGCGTCAGTAACATATGTCTGTACCCCCGAAAGACGCGTAAGCCATGAAAACTTTTCTCATCCCTGTCTTTTCTTCTCTTCTCTTCTCTCTTGCGAGAAGCACCACTTCCTGTACTTTACCTCTCTCCTCAGGTTCTTCCTCTCAGTCATCTTTAAGCAATCAATCATGGTCTCTCTCTTCACCTGAGTAAAACCTTGTATCTCAGCTCGCATAGTTCTACTCCACTGCGCAAACCCTCACTACCGATCATTACCTCTATATCAATCATTTTTCAACACTCCCTGCGTGCAAGTTGCCAACACCGGACGAAAAACTAAAAAGAAAACCCTGTATCTGGAAAGTAAAGACGTCGTATCATACGAGAACGTGGATGGCGGCTCCCGACCCGCACACGCACAACGACAGAGGGTATGTAGTAATAACACACGCGTGCGATGACCCGCAACGGATGGCGCACATTCCCACGACGGTGGGGTGTTTCTATGGATGTTCACACAGTTTCAGTTCTGGCTGGTGTGGAGGAAAAACCCCAGGGTGGGGCTATAGTGGGGGGGCAAGTATCCACTCCGAACCTGTTTCCGGCGATCAGGACTCCCGCACTCGTATCATAGACGGGTTTACTTATAGTCCACAGCGCGGAAGCGATGCGCCAATGGCACTATGGAGGGATCATTTGAACACCGCTACGTATACTGGTATCCTACGGACTGTTTTTCTATTTTCCAGGATGGCGGTGCCTTTTACCTAACATATCGGGCGGCGGTGACTTTTGTAATAACGCCCTCGCAGGCGTCCTGCCTAGGCCGATACGGAAGAATGCTTTTGACTTTGCTCATGCGAATGGCACACCCCCTCGCATTCCCATTAATAGCATCGCCAGTCCGATCCCGTGGCTAGAGCCCCACCCACTTACCCCCCCCCGCCTGTAGGCTGGTTAAGGCTGAAGTTTAGCGCATCGGGCGGAAAGACCAGGTATTCTAGGGGCGGGTGATTTGCTATTGAGGTGGCCACCTGTTCCGTCACCCAGGCACATACTGTCGGCCTGTTTTGGTGTATGCGGGTCGATCCCACCATACACTACAGCATCACCCTCCCTCCCTCAGGCTAGCTGCAACTTGTAGACCTCAGGATCTTGGCTTGCATATCTTGCAGTGGCCCAGGAGAGAGGCGTAGGAAGATGTGTGTAGTATGTACTGTAGTTTCTATACTAGACGATACACCTGAGGGGGCTTATTATAGGAGATAGGGGAATAGCGATGATCGCTAACTTTGCTAACTCGGGGTGTTTCTCCGCAATCCCAAATCGTACGTGTAATTTTCGGTGGTTGGATGTTTGCATAACTCTCTCCCAAATCTAGGCACCACAAATCATTCACAACTTCAAATCGCCTACGTATACAAGGTCCTCAAACGCCCACTTCCTGCGCCAGCTGCGCACGCGTCCCCTCTGACATTTTTCCACTCCTATACATCCAGATTGCAACGGGGCCCTCCCTTCCCTCCCTCCTTCATCCAAACATACCTCTTATCCCATCTCTTACTGTATTCTACAATTCTTCCGCTAAGGAAACACCGAATGGAGGAGGAGGATCCAGGGAGAAAGTACAACCACACTCATCCAATAACACTGCATCCGGGAGTGAATCTGACCCCCTCATTCCTAGTTCTGGAGACCCCTCGCACCCGCCTCGGAGAACGCCGGGGACGCCACGAACCGAGCACAAGCGACGTATCCAACTCGAGAAGGAACCCCTCTTACTTCTATGAGGAAGTCGATACACACACCCCAATGACTTTGGAATGGATCGTTGAGAAGTAAGAGAGAGCTTCAAAGAAAAGGAAACAGGCGTTGGCAGGAGGGAAACCAGGGGGAACCGAGAAGGAGTCCAAAGGGTTTCGGAATTGCGACCAGAGAAAACGTTGAGAAAGCCGCCAAGGGAGAGGCGAGGGCCGCTAAGTGGAAGAGAGTTTGCGAGGGTGATAGAGGGGTGGCGGGAACTGCTAAAGGTGGCAATTCCAATGTGGAGGATGGTAAGAAGATATTATGAGAAGGGATTCTTCATGGCTATGGTTACTTAATTGCTACAGTAGGTGAAAGGGAGTTCACCGACCGGAGCTCGCAAACGCAAGAGGCTATCTCCGAGCCGAGTGAAGGTGCCAGTATTGAAGGTTTGAGCGCAAAATTCCAATGAGGGACCAGGACGGTAAAAGGGTGGAAGTCGCCAATCAAAATATCGGGCCAGCCATGGATGGAGAATGGAGAAGTGCAATTTCTAACGGCAGCTGACAACATCAGGAATACCGATTCCGGCATCAGCAATCAGGACCCCTAGTCGAAGAATTAGCATTAGTTTGATTCTGGCCCCGGACTCGAGCAATGTGAGAACCAAAAACTGAGTGCCCTTACTTTCCAAAATACTGGTTCAATCGGAAAGCCCGTACGTGCCACCAACAGTAGGCGGTGGCTTCTATAGCACCCCCCAGGCGTAGTTAGTTCTGACAAGCTGTCCCTCTAGCAGTTATGCTGAAAGCAAGAACCGGTTTGTTTGGAGTACTGAACCTTATGACCAGCAAAAATCCCTCGCAGAAGCTCCCCCTTAAATTTATAAGCGAGGATATTATCCCCGATATCCTACCGGTACTCATACACACCCTCCCCCCAGATCGGAAAAGTGGTGACATGGGAAGCCGCGTGTGGAGATTCTTGAACGTTTTGAAAGTAACGAAAATCGTACTAACTGGTAGTAATTTGCGGTTGATAGTCACTCGATTGTCCTAGCCCAATTCTATGGATTGGTGAGTATTATTCCGGGGGGATTAGCGGTAATTTTCACTAAGCATTGTGACAGCTTTTTAGCTATGGCTTTCGGCCCCCACGAGTAGTGTTTGCCCAGTTTTAGTTTATAAATTTTGAATGAACCGGATGAGAATAAAGGTTGATACGAAGGTGTGAATGTTTAGTAGCGTACAATTGTGTGGCCTATCAAATCCAGCGGGGTGTCGGGTTGTTGACAATATTCCAATCTCCATGGCTATGAACGGCCTTTCCCGCTAGAATCTGGTTGGCAGTTGTCATGAGTCTTGGGGTGTGTCAATAATGTTCTGAATGTGGATTGCTAGAGTATGCACCCCAACATGACAAGAACTGGCCTGGAGCCGGTCTGCCCAACTGGAAAAGCGGTGGAATCCAGAGGAATTCCAGATGTTAGAGGGTGGCTCAAAGATGTATAGCCCAAATTTTTGTAACAAATCCTGCGCCTGACGGTCGCAACGACTTTATAGGCACTAATTCATCCCAGGCAGCGAAAAAGGTCAGGGCCCTCCGAAGCACCAATATTCAATACCGTAAAAGTGAGATGATGAACGACCCCAGCAGAGCCCAAAGGTGAGATCGGCAAGGATCAGCCGTCGCTCCTGAGGCCTGTGGGAGCCCGACATCATGATATATACCCTCCCAATGCGCTCTTAGCAAAAGGCCTCCGACTCAGATTATGCAGACTAAGCAGGGGTTACCTGCAAACCCAATTCCTCTGTCACCATAGCAGCGGTAACCCTGCCACTACAGCATTGTGCATTGGGTTTAGGAAAAGAGCTTTGGGTCCTTCAAAGGCGAAGGCAATATATTTCCTTGCATGCCATACTCTCTCTGATCGGTGGCGATGCTTGTACAGTATGACCCTCGTATGATACAAGTACGAGTACATGCATCACAATTCCGCAGTTCATGGGTGAATAGAGTGCTCGCACGGTACTGTACTCCCACAGAGGTTCAAGATTGGGAGATCGATCCCAAACGCCGGTAGTGTAAAGCACAATATAGCAGACTAGTGCCGAGCCCACTGGAGCAACGAATAAAAAGGGGAAACATGTGCAGTCCCCGGTGGATAAGGCAGCGGAACAGGGTTCTCCGATGGGTTGGCCAGCGGAGCACCGTATCAGCTCCCATGAATTGAGTGTGAGTCCCCCAGACCGCTCCTCTGTCGGGCGATAAGCTGCGGGAGCCTGAAGGATCCCTCCATACCATCTAAAAATAACCAAGGCAGCAATTGGGAGTTCAGTGGTTGTCATGGCAACTATCGAAACTCGCTTAGTTAATGTGCCAAGGCGGGGCTGGGTCGATAGCGAAGGGACAGGCAGCGCAGGAGGGATCAGTGCTCCACAATCAACAACCAACAGCCAGCAGCTGGCAAGACTGCCAGAAGTCTATCCCGCGTTCCTTTCTATGCCCCTCGTTTCCACTCTTCCTCTTTCCTCCTTTCTACCGTGCACTGGAGTTTGTGCCACGCCCGCCACTTCTCATCTCCCTCATCCTGCACCCCTCTACATCCGTGGGCCTCACGGGGGGTACAGGACCGTACCCTTTCCCTAGAGCTAAAAAAGTTTCACCCACTCACTGATCGTCTCTTGCCCCCCCCCCTCCCTCGACACACCCCACACACACCCGCACATACCCACCCAGACGCACCCACACGCTCCCTCCCATCCTTCTCCTTCTCCCTTTCCTTTTTCCTATCACTATGACACCTAAACCTAAGAGGCCTCACTCACCAGACGAAGACAGCCTCGACAAGCCATCTTTACCCCCTTCCTCGGGTGTTACACGGGGAAGCTCAAAAGCTAGAAAACGATCCAAGATGGATGGTGCATCGGTATGGATAATTAGCGGATACTGGTAGCTCACTTAACTCCCAAGACCCCGCTAACGTTTCACTCCAGGCATCCGGGAAAAACAAAAGCCTCCCGCAGGTTCAAACCGATACCCAGAATTTTGGCGCCGGAACCTCAAGCTCACACGAGAAGAACGCCTATAAGATGAATTCTGTGCGTTGCATTTTTCTTATCACCGTTTCTTTTTTTCCTTTTTCCTTTTTTCCCTTTTTCCCCTCTCCCCGTGTCCATTGGGCCATGATAGGCCATGATAAGCTTCGCACGGAGCTTTCTGGCGAGCTTAGTTATACCCTTCTTGCGCAGAACCATTCTAATGACGCAATCATAGAAGCGTGCATCTTCTTCCTTTAGCTCGGGACCTTCTAGCAGGATCAGTAGCGAGATCACCTCCCCAGAAGATACTGGGAACCCATCCGAGGTGGACGTGGACAAGTTGCGTAATTGGTGGACTACACTACACCCGAAAGGTCGATGCTGCAGTCAATGCAACAATGAGCTCCACTTCGAATCCGTCACTACCGACACGCTCAGAAACCAGCTTGATTCCATGTACAGGATTAAGAACGCTGTCCGGAATGCCGAAAAGGTTGAGAAGCACCGTAAGGAGTTTGAGGAAAAGTCGAGGGAAGAAAGCATATCGCGGTTAGCAAAATGGGGCAGGGTTAGGAGGCTTGCCACCGGTAATGGCCCATCCACAAGCAAAACCGATCTCGAAATGGACAAAGAGAACATTGAGGACGAGGAGAAGGGGAAGGAGAAGGAGAAGGAGAATGGGAATGCCCAAGATGGCAAGAGTGGGAAGGATGCCAAGGGAAAAGGTAAGGAGAGAGAAGATAAGCCAAACGCGAAGAGGATCAGTCAAATATTCGGTACCGAGTGCTGCCCAAAATGTCGGACTTATCTCTGCATTGCTTGTCTCAAACCTGCCCAGTCGGAGTCGGATCAAAAATGGGAGGACCGGAATGGCGCGAAGAATCCCGATGGAAACGACACTTCGCCGAGGACATCTGAACGCAGCTTCCGAGATGACAAGCGGCCATGGTGTTGTAGTGACGGCAGGCTGGTTGCCATATTGTTATGCTTAGGGATTGTTGACGAGGAGTTCCTCGGACTAAGTGCTAGTGGGAACTCCCTCTCTTCTAGCTCAATCGGGAGAGGGATCAAAGGAACTCTCAGGCGTAGCCTCCGATCTCTTAAGGACAAAATCACGGACGGCGCACACCCTACAAAGGCCCCGGTATCAAGGCCCGAACGAAAGACTAGGGCCAAGGGAACCAAAGACAAGGGAACTGGTTACGGGTCCGGGACATATACTGCGTCTATGTTCGGCTTTGACACCAGTGACAGCATGGATTGGGACTTTCCGGAAGATGAATCTGATTTTGACGACGGCCCGTTGATGTTTAGTGATCTTGAATTTCCAGTCACAGACTCTGGGATAGGAAAGTTATCGGAGAAGATTGCTGCGCAAGTGGCCGCTCTGAGTGGGCCCCCCACGGCCTCCACAAAGTCCGTCGGGGCTACCCATAACTCACAGGCCCAGTCCGAGCCAACCCCCGCTCCAAAGATAAAGCCTCCCCCCGGCCTGTCAACGCCTGAGGGTTTGCCTCTCGCTTCTGCCTTGCCTCAACTCCCCCCAAATCTGCAATTCCAGCCTCTTCCTGGCCCATCAACGGCTGAAGGTCTATCTATCGCTTCTACCCTGCTGCAGTTTCCCTCAGAATATCCATTCAAGCCTTCCCGCGGGTTTCCGGTAGTTAACGGTTTGCCCCTAGATCCCCCCCCACCATATAGTCCCTCAAGCGCGGCGAGCAAAGAGCCTGCCAACCCAGGATCGTCCCAAATGCCGATGGTGTATCCTTACCATGGATTTGGACTTGGGAGGGGAACGAACCCTTTGGGTAATTTGTCATACAGTCTTCCTCACGCCCCTCCCCACCCAGCCATTAAGACACCAATAGCCTCCGGGCACCAATACCACCCCTCCTTCTTCCAAAACCCGGTTAAACCTTTGGCCAACTCTCCTAGTGGCCCTAGCTCGGCCCAAGACCCATTGCCAAATTCCGTAGTAGAGGGTATGCCAGGTCTCCCAATCCTCCCGGGTGCCACCGGTCCGCCCCTTTCGGCATCAGATATGATGCAACATATAAAAACCTATGTGGCCCAGCACCCGGAGGCTGCAGTATCACCGCTAGGCTATATTCCAGCCTACATTCCAGCCAGTTCAGATCCTGATCATGCTAACGCGCTTTTCGAAGCGGTAGGGGCACCATCTGGCTTTACCGATGATGGGGCCGGCGTGGCACACCTTTGGCCTGGACCCCCCGAAGCATTTCAGCCCCGTTCGGCCCTCAAAAATCAGGCTTTGCCAGCGCACCCCCCGTTATCATCAAAGCAGATCATGCACGACAAGACGCTTTATGCGGTTATCCGGACGCTGATTAGGCTTCTTTCTGATTCCGGGACGGAGAATGAGTTACAATACGTGATGTCTGATGTTACTCTGAGCATGTTGAGAGCAAGTATGTTGGCTGAAAAGGTCGAGGAACTCTTACGAAATGATTCCATCCAAGATATTTCGATTCATAGTGAGGTGTATCTGGCTCTGGTTACCCTATTGAATCGTCTATCAGACAGCCCGAACCTTGAATTTCTGATACTGGAGAATCGTCGTTCCAAGCTTTTCACAAGCGGCATCATGAAAATTACTCAAAGCAAGCCGGTCATCGATTTGTTAACCGAGATCGGCCCGAAAACCAGGGGAAAGGCTGCAGCGGCGGTTGAAGAGAGGAAACGCGCAGAAGTCTTGATGTATGAGGATGGGTTTAGCAGGCACAGCATGGTTCAAGTTATGTCGAAACTGAGCACTCAAGCCAAGGTCTTCCTTAAATGTGTGGGTAAGACAAAGGGGGACGAGTTTGAGGGAACAGAAGCGGCAAAAACTCTCAAAATTTGCGTGGAAATCGTGGCTATCGGGGAAAAGTTCCTTAACCTTGCATCCCGTAATGCGAACAATAAAAATAGATCATCTTTCGTTTCCTCCACGAGCATTGAGGCGCCCCCACAGATGAGAGCCCCGCCCACGGCTCCTGTCTTGGACCTAGGATACCATGATGGGATGGCATTTGAGTATATCGAGGGTGTCCTTTCAACACACTATTGGAATTTGCAGGCAAGTAGCCTAGCTACTAGTCCGAGGGGCCGGGTTCTACACCTAAGCAGAGAGATGGCCACAATGAGTACTAGCCTCCCACAAGGGGTTTTTGTCAGGGTTGAAGATGGCAGGCCAGACGTCATGAAAGCCATGATTGTTGGTCCCTGCGAGACGCCGTATGAGGGTGGGCTTTACGAGTAAGTGATTCCGTTGAGTCAGTTGAGTTGAAATGCTAATCGAAAAGATTTGACATCTGGGCTCCTGCGAATTACCCGAGCGGTCCACCAATGTGCCAATTCAAGACCACCGGCAATGGGACTGTTCACTTTAACCCAAATTTATACAACTGCGGAAAAGGTAGATTCCGAGTGATAGATTCTTGAGCAAATAACTAACCGATGACTTTCAGTGTGCCTCTCCATCCTCAATACTTGGTCTGGCGCTTCTTCGGAGCGTTGGCAGCCGGGAACTTCCACCTTGCTCCAGGTTTTTGTCTCTATCCAATCCATGATACTTTGCGCGAGTCCTTGGTACAATGAACCCGGGCGGCGTGAAGGGACCCGGAAAAAGGATGCCGAAGAGTTCAATAGCAGAGTCCGTGTCAACAGTGTCAAATGGGCAATGCTTGATTGGCTCAGGGACTCTTCCAAGAGGAATGGCATCTGGAAGGTATGTCAATACCATTACTGGGTGCTTACCGGATGCTGACAGGTATACAGGACGTGATTGAAGCACATTTCAAGACCAACCAAGGGTATCTACTCGATCTCGTCAGAGAATGGGCCAAGAAAGATCCCAGATTGACCAATTCCAAAGCCAATGTGGGGAGCAATAAGTGGAACTCATATGAAGATGCTTCTGGAATCGCGCAAAACTATGTGTCGGCACTGGAGGAGGAATTTGCAAAGATATAATCGGGAGATATCGTCGTTGTTAGATCGAGGGAAACTATTCTACCGAGGGGTTGCAATACCTTTTCTCTTTCATCCTCATTTCCTTTGTCCACTTTCCCTTAATACTCTATCCACCCTTTTCTATTGCGCATAAGGGCCATTTCTTGGGATTACTGAATGGATTGTTTGGCGATGGGCTATCGCAGCAGGTATTGAAGTATTTTTCTAGCGTGCGCGGGAATCTGTTTTCTCTTTCATAGAAGTACGGAATGGATAGCATTGGGGCGATTCTCTCCTCTCCATTTTCACAATACCGTGCCTTGGTATCTCTCTGGTTTCTTTTTCCTTCCTCTCCTTTTCTCCTGCTCTTCACCTGTCCTCCCTCTCGATTGCAGCGGTACCGATTTTTTTGATTTTTTTTGATTTCCTTCTGTGTGTGTTTTCTCATCTTCTCCTATCTTACATGGATGACTGCCGCTACAAGTAGCCATAGGCCGTGTAACAATTCAAGGGACGGCTCAGTACGGCCCGATACCAGTCGGTAACGCTACCATGGCACGATGTTTCTGCGTATAGTGAACAAAATACACATTCAATTGAAGCTTCATTATCGCAAGGGAATTTTAGTCAGCTGGGTAGTCTTGTGCAGTACGATCCCGTGAAAATTGTACCTGTGCTCGATGATCCCGGAAGGTGACACGACCCAGCCCCTGTGCGAGATAGTCAGCCCCGCCACGATGGTGCAGGCAAGTCAGTCATACCGTGCCATACTGTGACGTGAGACTTTTTACTCAGTGCGGTACCGCACTGGGGCAGCGCCGCCAGCATCATGCATAGCAGAGCACCAGCAGAGGGCCCGAGCGCAGCGCACAATCAAAACATTGGAGGAACTCCTACTCGAGTACTTGGAGGAGGAGTAGACGATAAGTTAGTACTTTGTACTTGGCCATTTATAAAGTATTCGGACGCTTGGCACCCAGACAGGTGCCAATAATGCCAAGGCGTCCGAATCCTATATAAATGGACGAGTACAATAAAGCTACCAGTATTACCGTAGTTTTTATTCCAGGTACAAGCACCGGTACGGTACGGCGCTACCGGTATACTGTGCGGTAGTAGAGCACAGCGATCCATGTCACAATTCGCCGTTTGCAAAGTACGGTATCCGGACGACCAGGCGCCAAGACGGGTATCAGAATACGCCAAGGTGTCCGGATACTTTACCGCAAGAATTTCCCAGCAGCCTTCGAGACATGTGAATACCTACCACAGTATAGCTCGGCGTGTTACTGTACGAGTACAATACGGACCGACCAGCCCCGCGAGATATCCACTACCGGTACTGTACGTAGCGGCAACACCGTACTCGAGTACGTATCCCCGCGGTAGGTACGGTATCGTGCGGGGCACGGCAAACCGTGCGGCGGTGGTAAGTGTACGAGTACAGCACCGGTACCGTACCGTACAGTACTATACAGCAGGGCATCATACAGTACCGTACCGTGCATCGCTCCAGGTATGATCCGATAGGTATTTGTACCGTCCCCCCACCCGAAATCTCGCCTCTCCATCCGAGCCCAATCCAAGCATCCTCGGTTTCCACGCCTGATATTGTACTAGTACTAGTACAGTAGTATATCCGTACTCGCGCCTATTTGCAGGCACGCAGCCACTCAAGTAGACTACCGGCAAACTATCGTTGCGGGTACTGTACTAGTACAGTAGAGTACCGTAAGAGCAAGAGGTCTTGGCTTCCCCGATTCGTTGACGTGGTTTTTCCCCCCCCCCCTCCTCGCCACCAGTAACAACGGCGGTCCGGGGTGCTGTACTAGTAAATTACTGTATCGTACCGCGCCGGTAGTAAACGAAGAATAGGGGGAGGAATTTCGCCACAAATGAATGGACGAACCGAAAATTAAGGTAAGGTCAGATGAATGGATGGAAGCTTTTAGAGGCGGAGAAGGAGGAGATGAGGGTCGTGAGTGTAATTCGCCACGGATAAGGAGGAAAAGTTCCCTCCCTGCTTGTACTGTAACCGGTATATTCTGTTTCTACAGTATTGCACTGGGGCAGCGTGCCGTGCTAGTTAGTTAGTTAGTTAGTTAGTATTAAATAATACCATTCAACGAGTGCTATACCGGTACGGGTACGGTACTCTACAGTGCTATGGTAATGTTAGACTACAACCGCAATACCGTAACGATTAATCAATAAACGGTCATGCGACACCGTCCGCTCACCCAACTCACCTTTTTTGTTTTTAATAATAAAATTAAAAAAATCCCCCCCCCCCCCACCCCTTCCAGAGCTGAAGGAGCAAAGCAAGCAATCAAGCGAGTGACAGGCAGCTGCCTATTCCATACAATAGCCCTGCACCAAAAGCGTCGCGTTTACCGTACTCTACTGTCATAAAGCATGATACCTGTTTACCGGTGGGTTGCAGTCGCCGCACTCGAGTACTGTACCGTACCCTACCAATACCGGTACATGTGACACCGAACGCAAATAAATGGTGGGGAACTCGTTACAAAAGTGGCAAGTCCTCCGCCATGGAACCGAGGGGTTGGGATGAGATGTATTGGTAAAAGGCAGATGGGAGGAGCAAAAGAGAGAGTTTTTTTGGAAAAAAAAAAATGGGAAATTTCGTTTCGCTGTTCATTCATTCAACCACCCTGTTCTGGCCGGAATTCCTGCAAGTTTCCTGTTATGATACGAGGGTTATTCATACGGTACCATTCTTTAATGGGCCACCACCAATAGGTTGTAATATGATAATAAGTAGTGATTTTAAAAAAATAAAAAAATTGGAAATCGGAAATTAG